CCCTCTGGTCATCTTCGTGGCCCTCCTCTGGACCCACTCCAACACATCCATGTCCTTATGTTGGGGACTCCAGAGCTGGATGCAGTACTCCAGGTGGGGTCTCACCTTCTTCTCTCCTCTTCCAGCTGAGCATTGCTGTATGCCTGGGCTTTCTGGCTGCCTGGACCCCTTATGCCATCGTTGCCCTGTGGGCAGTCCTCGGCGATGCCAGCCAGGTGCCGGCGCTGGCCTTCGTGCTGTCGGCCGCCTTTGCCAAGTCCTCAACGCTCTACAACCCCCTGGTGTACCTGCTCTTCAAGCCCAACTTCCACAAGTTCTTCTCCAAAGACGTGGTGCTCCTCCAGGCCATCCGCACCCTCCTCTGCTGCGGCTGCCCAAGCGCTGTGCTCCAGCCCTTCTCTTCCCCGGAATTCGGTGACCACCCTGGGGCTTGCAGAATCTGCAACGACACTTTTGAGTGTTTCAGCAACTACCCGAAGTGCTACCAACTCCCCCAGGCAGCCGGCAGCTCACCCCGGCACGCTCCCCTGGCTATCCTGGCGGACGGACCTGCTTCCCGGCCGGGGCTGAAGAGGACGGTGCAGGTGATGGTGCTCGTCACACAGAAGAGGTCAGGCCTGGGCGCTGTGAATGTGGTGGGGGAAGCCCTGCCGTCGAGTATCATGAAAGACCTCCTCTGAGCCCGGCCATGCCCTACCAGCGCACTGGAAGACAGACCCAAGCGCAAGTTATCTCTCACCTACATTTCTGATGGGTTCCCAGCATGTTCTGCAGATGAAGTGACATGAAAAGTGAAGACCAGCCTTGCCTCTCCCTCTGTTTTGGCTCGTGCAACTCTGAGCCTAGTCTTTGCACTTGTGAAAAAAAAAAAAGACCCTTTCTAGGCCCCTAGTGCCTGAAACCCGCCCAGGGTCCAAGTCCAGGGTGCACTTTCTCCTGCAGCTTGCTCTCTGGGCCCTTGGCCTTTGCTTTTCCATACTGGTGCTCTGATGACCAAGTAGGAACTTGGTTGTCTTAAGGAACCGTGCCTGGCAAGGCGGGCAGGGGACCAGGGGGCCCTGGGAGGAGCCCCACCTCCAGCGCCAGCTCCTCCAGCCCCCGCCGACCACCTCCGCTCCCGTTGGGGAGTGGGACCGCACCGCTCAGCTACCTCACTGGGGATGATGAAGCATCTCTCTCTACCTCTCCAGAGGCCACTCCCTGCCCAGGCTGGGTTACCCTGCTCCCCTGATGGAATGCAAACCCAGAACTATCCTACAGATCAAAATGGGAGCTTGTCTCTAGAGCGAGGATTTGGGGTTAGAATAATCCCAGTGCGAGTAATAGCAGTCCCAGGTCACGCTTTCCAGGCAGGGAAGGGTGAATCTGTGGCCGAGCACCATCCCGGAGACGGGCTGTGGCT